CAACAGCCATACAGTGTTTCTCATCTGCTAGGCCATGATTTCTTTAGCCGGCCCCTAGGATGGGCACTTAGGTTGTTTCCAGCCTTTCCCAACACAAACATTGCTGCCGTGAATCACCGTGTGTGGTTTCACAGCTGGGCTAGGAATCTGGGAGACCTGGGTGGAAGGGTGTGTGCATCTGTGATTTGTCAATCTTTCTTAATTTCCTCATTGGGGATATAGCAATCTGTGTCTCTGTGTTTCTTATACCAGGCCTGTGTGAGGACACAGGGGTCTCAGAGGCATGAGGCAGTGCCTCATTCCTGAGGGCTGGTTCACCTTGAGAGGTTTTCCGGGCTAGGGAGAAACCCCACTCTCCTCAGGTTTTAAAATATATATATATATATATATATATATATATATATATAGTTATTTATATTTGGGGTATGTGTGTTCGCCTGCATGGATGTATGGTCACCACGTGTGTACCTTGTGCCTCGCAGAGGGTGTCGTATCAGATGGTTGTGAGCTGCCACGCAGGTGCTGAGAACTCAACCCAGGTGGTCTTCAATAGCAGCCTTAAGCCCTAAGCCATCTACCAATCTCCACTCCCCTCAGTTTGGGAGCTCCATTCTTCGTTGCAGGAACTCATGCAACCTGCCACTCTAAGCAACTGATCCTTCTCTTCCCAAAGTCTGATTCACCTCTAGCCTGTCCAAGGCCTACTGTGGTTCCAGGTTACAATCGCAAACCTTTAACGAGCTCTGGGAATTCTGGCCCTCCTATCTCCTTCCCACCACATCCATTTCGTTCCCTACAGCAAATTTCCTAACTGTTGTCCCAGGTCCTCCTTAGGATCTCAGTGTCTTTGCTGTGGTCACCCCTTTTTTAGCTCAGAGTAATCCTTGGGAAGGTTTGGTGCCCTTGCCTCTATGAGGACCCGCCTGTAGCGAACTCATGGCGTCCCACCAGGTCTCTCTGGTCTTCATTGCCCCAGAAGTTGGCGTGAACCAGACATGGAATCTGTGCTCCCGGTAAAGCAATTACTGCGTCCATCTAAGAGACCAGAGACCTCTGGAGTGTCCACGCCCTGCAACCTCCTCTGCAGTACGGCCACCAGGAGGCGCCGTGCTCCCTCCGTGGCTCCAAGAGAGTGGACCCGGGGCGGTGGGCGGTGCAGCGAGGATATGGTTCTCCCGCCAGAGGCTGCTGCGAAAGCCAGGCAAAATCTATGGCATCAAACAACTGGGGAATTTTCCCAGGTTGTTGGCCACCTGCTGTCAGGAGGAAGAGAGGGGAAAAAAAAGTGGGGAGATGGATCTGCTGTCTTCCCTTGGGTCTGGGAGGAGAATGGGCACCCAGCCAACACCAGACCTTAGTTTCCCTCGGGTTTTGGGTCTTCCGTTTAAAAAGCCTTTGGCAGATGTCCTTTAAAGTCAGCGAATTCGCCTTCAATCCAGCACTCTGAAGCGTAGGCAGGCAGATCGCATAGACGCAGACGTTCCTACCCTACCGCCGGACTTCAAGTCTGCTTGGGGTGAGGAGACACATGGATCGGCTTTCCATCCTCCATTAAAAAGAATTTCTTTACTGGACGCTGGAAAAGTAGGAGAGGCCCCCCAAGAATGTGTTTCCATATAGCTATTTAATTTTTTAACTTTATTTTTAATTATGTATATGGGTATGCACACATGAGTGCATGCGCACAGCGAGGCCAAAGGCATCAGAGCCCCTGGAGCTGGAACTGCTGATAGATGTGAGCCACTTGCCGGTGATGCTGGGAATCAAACTCAGGTCCTCTGCAAGAGCAGTATGAGCTCTTACCCATGAGCCATTTCTCCAGCTACCCCCTACCACTCCTTTCTGAGAAAGGGTCTTGTGTATCCTAGGCTGACTTCAAGCTGGCTACATAACCAAGAGGACTTTGAACTTTTCTGCTCCTCTTCCATCCACTTCCTGAGAGCTGGCATGACAGGTGTATGCCACTATCACGCCTGCTCGTGTGGCACTAGGATTGAATACAGATCTTTGTATCTGCTGGACAAGCACTCTATACCAACTTAGCTACATTTCAACCGCCAATGTCCCAATACCCTAAAACAACAACAACAACAACAACAACAACAACAACAACAAAACCAACAGGAGCAGGCTGCCTCAGACTCGGCGGCCCATGTACCGAGATTGCGAGGATAGTATGACCATTATGAGCAGCCCCAGAGGGACAGTATCTGTGGACTGTGACTGTCTGTAACTGAGAAGTTTCTCTGTGGGGTGGGTCTGGAAAGCAGAAGGTGCAGAATTGAGAAAACTGCTTCCAGGCATAGCGGCCACCATTCCCAGCTCAGAGGCAAGCAAAGGCAGTCTGAGAGAAAGACACTCGGGCTCTGGTGTTTAAAGTCACTCCTAGAAGAGAAGCCTCCTTACCCATAGCCTGCAGGTACTTAAGACTTCCACACTTGACAGAGTTGTGGGCCCTCAGTCCCCAGTAGGAGCTGTTCTGCTTTCTACCTAGATGTGAGCTGGAATGGCTGGGCTGGTTCTTAAGATTTTTCTTTTTTTCTTTTCTTTTTATTTATTTATTTTTCGAAGCAGGGTTTCTCTGTGTTGCTTTGGGGCATGCCCTGGAACTCACTCTGTAGACCAGGTTGGCCTCAGACTCACAGAGATCCTCTGCCTCTGCCTTCCGAGTGCTGGGATTAAAGATGCGCACCACCACTGCCTGGCCCTTAAGACTTTTCTTAAGCAAAGACCAAGGTCACACTGTGCCCACTGGCTGGGTTGATGTTTTGTTGGGGGAGGGGGAGTTGGTGATACTATAAACTTAACGAAACTTCCATCGTCACCGTTTCGAACCGTGGTTCACTTACAACGCTCATTCACATTGCCATGCAGCTGTCCCCACTGACCATCTGCAGAACTTTTATTTTGTAAAACCAGAACTCTGTCTCCATCAACACTAAGTCCTCATACCCCATCTGAAATGCCTGGTAACATCATTGGTATGGGTCAGAGATCAGAGGGAAGCCACAGAAGTTTTCAGATTCTCATGTCCCAAAACAAAGAATTGTAACCGGGATATGTGGTAGTAGAAACAGAGACAGCTTATTAAGGAGAGGGACAAAAGGGCAGGCAACGTGCCTCAGTGGTATGCACCATCCAGCAATGGCAGCCGTCACACTGCAGAGATTGAGAATGAGTAGCTGCTCGGTCCACCGGACTGATGTTCAGCTGTCCCAATCTAGCCCTGAAGGCCTGGTGGACTCCTAGAGAGCCTCTGGTTCCAGTCGGCCTTGGGGGTCAAAAAACTGGGCTGAATATTGGTGAAGGATGGCAGCAGCAGTGTAGACAACCCTCCATGAGAGTAGATGCACTTGCCAGCATAAGACAGAAGAGCAAGCAGGCAAAAACCATAAGCATCTCCTTTCAATCTTCTTACAGTAGGTGCCACCAATCCCTATTCAGGGTGGGTCTTCTACTTCAGTGGATGTAATCAAGAGAATGTCTCATAGGTGTTCCCAGAAGCTGATCTCATCGTTGATTCCAGATCCATCAAGATGACAAACAACATTTACCATCCCAGTAAGCAATGCTGTGATTGGTTAGAGGCTGATCAGTTAGATGCCAATTTGGTTCTGACCTCAGGCCAGCTATGCACACAATAAATGATCTGAGCTTCAACCATGCTAATGCTCAACCCTAGAGCTAAGCAGTTTTGCTTTGTTAAGCTGTAATTATTAATATTATTATTTTGTTTCTTAAGATAGGGTTTCTCTGTGTATCCCTGGTTGTCCTGGAACTCACTCTGTAGACCAGGCTGGTCTTGAACTCACAGAGATCCGCCTACCTCTGTTTTCCAAGTGCTGGAATTGAAGGTGTGCGCCACCACTATCCAGTAAAATTTTTGACCTGTGTGTATGGCTGTGTACCATGTGCATGCAGTGCTTGCAGAGGCCAGAGGGGGCATAAGATCCTCTGGGACTGGAGCTACAGAAGGTTAAGAATTTCAATCTAAGTTCTGGGAACCAATCCTGGGCCCTTTGCAAGAGCAGGAAGCGCTCTTGATCACTTGCTTACCTATCTCCCCAGCCCGGCATTCTATGTTTTTCAACGTTACACACTAAGATCTGGAGACCTTGTCTTGACCAGCTCTTTCCCTTCTGCAGCTCCAGAAATGCAAACCCAGAAAAAAAAGAAGCCACGGCAGAGATTTGGGGAGCTCAAATCTTCAGGGGGACCGACATATGTCTGGAAACCAAGCCAAGCTTAGTAGATGCTTTGCCCTCTTGTATATACTGGAACACAGCCTGGGAAAGCTTCTCCAGTTAGAGCAGCAGAGTCCTGAGGCTTAGGACATTGGGCAAGTGGGTCTTATACCCTGTACACAAGCCTTGTGCTTGACTTTCTCCCCAGGCAACCTCCATTCCAGCAGTCATTGATCCCAAAAGCCTATGAAACAGAGGCTAGAGTCAGGGGCCACGGCTTCTTGCTGTGGACACCTTAACTCCCAGGATACATCCCTCATTTTGAAATGTGCATTAGGGTGGCAGAGGCCAGTGTAGAGTTCAACTTCCAGTCTGTCATTCCCAGCTCTCCCAATGGTAGAGGAAGACTAGAAATCTGCCTCTGCCCAGCCTCCTGCTCATGATCAGTGGGTCTCCTGAGTTTTGCAGGCTCTAGCTTGGAAAATCAGGGATCCCCAGAGGTGTCCAGGGCTTCTGCAGCAGAACGTGGAGACACCTTCAGCCTCAGCCCATCCTCCAAAGACCCCCCCCATACACACCCCCAATGTCTACAGGCTGGGAATGGCATTCTCAGCTTGTATGTTACCAGCCTGGTCCCTGAGCCCAGGCTCTCACTTCAACACAGCAGCTGCTAGTCCTGCAGAAAGCACTGTTTGCAGGCTGAGCTGGTGTTGGACACCCACACCCTATCTGTGGAGGGCATTTGTGGGGTACCCTCCCTTCGAACTTTCTATAAAGGCCCCCGCCCTTCTCTTTCTTGCTCTGTGGATGGGGGTGGATGGCAACACCAGAGCTAGCTGCTGGGCTTCCTCTTTGCCTCGCTTGCTGGGCAATGACAGAGCCTTGGACTTCCAGCTGCTGACAGGGTCACCAAGGGCCACCCAACTGCTCTGCCTCCACTCCCAGATGTCTCAACCTGAACCTATAGCAGCCCAGGGATGCTGGGTGAGGGCTTATCTACACAGGGGTTCTGGGGGCTGGGGCAGACCTTTATCTCTCAGCCATGGGCCTGTCCTACAGTTGGGGCTTTGTAATCTGACATTGTGATTTTTCATCCTTGTTTTCTCCCCGCGGAGGGAGGGAAGATTTGCTGAGTCATGCTGGGGAGGTGGTTGCAAAGGGTTGGGGGTCTAGGCAGCTGGAGGGCTCTGATAAGTCTGAGGCTGGGCTAAGGGGTGCTGGGGAGCCAGCGGGAGGAAACCCAGAGCTGACGGTTTCCAGCTAAGATTGACGTCTTCTGTAGAGCTGCCCTGAGGAGGGCTGAGCCCAGAATCCTGAACCTTCCCTTCTGAGGAGTCTAGGGCATGGCCCAGACCTCAGGGGCCACCGATGCCAGCTAAGCCTCTGTGCATCCTGTGATTGTCTGGACAGTGGCAGTAGCCATGGTGGGATACACTAGGTCACTTTTGGTATGGACACATTGACTGAAAGAAGCCCTGGCAGGGCAGTGCTGGGCCAGGCCTCTCGGCAGGGGGGAACAGCTGAGGCAGGCCCAAAGGGCCTGGTTTCAACAGCCAGCCTCTGTACCTGTCTTCTCCATTGAAGGCCATCTTCCTTATTTTAACAGATCAAATTCCCCCATGCTTTCTCCAGAAACACTTCCCTGACTCTTGGGGCTGGGCTTAGCAACTCCCCTTGGTCCCTCAAAGCCCTCTGAATATCTTTTACCCCCAGGTCTTGCCTCACAGAGAACAATCCAGAGAAGAACCTGGGTTTTAGGGTCTCTCCTCCAACTCTTCGAGAAATTGTTCTCTAAAAGTCTGGGACCTGCCTGATGCCAGCGAATCCTCAGATGACAGCAGGCTCCAGGGCCTCCTGTCTGCAGCAGAGCGGAGTGGGTGGCTGAGAGGTAGGCCTTGCCTGCCTTCCATTCACCTCTACTTGGTTTCCCTGTATACTTTCTGCAGAGTGGTGTGACCTGGCTTCTAGTGCCAGGTCCTCCAACCTCTCCAGGAACTGTGTGAGTGGACCACACACAGATTTGGGGGCTACGTTGGCCTTAGGGAAATGGCAGACAGAAAAGTCCAATAGGGCAGCACCGGGGGCTTCCCCAGGACACTCTACCTAGTTTATTTCTGATTCCCTGAAGGCCAGGGTGCAACCACTGCCCTGAGGAAGGTGGGGGGGGTAACTGACGCCCCCGAGTCTGTGGCCACATCCCCTGCTGCTCCCAAAAGGGACTTTGGGGACAGGAAGAGCTGCCCACAGTGGTCGCTTTGGTCCCTTCCTGCTGCCCAACTGAGCTCAGAGATAAGTCCTTGTGTGGCCCAGAGAGGCCAGGGGCCCAGGCCTTCCCCAGAAATCATGTCAGAATCCCCTACATGGAGGAAGGGGTCTGAGGGCCATGATAACCCCTCTATTTTTGAGAGATCCGGGAGGAAGTTCTAAGTCACCCTTGGCAGAAATAGCTCTGAGCTTCTGCCTGGCGTCTGTGGCTGCAGCTGGTGGCAGGGTTGGGTGAGGAGTGTGTCACGGTTGGAAACATCACACAGTGGCAGGGTGCCACCTATGCCCCAGCCTGGCCTGGAAGGCTGACCCTGTGTCCCCAAACCAGGATAATCCTGACAACCACGTGTATTGTGCCCTACTACCTCACGGGAGGTGCTGGAATCATGGCACAACGGCAGAAAGGAGGGTGCCGCTGCAGAGGCCTGGGGTCTGAGCTGTTGGAGGGCGGCTAGGAGAGAGGGAAAGGGCAGCATGATGGGGTAGGGGGAGCAGAAGGAGCAGAGGCCCAGCGTCAGGGAGTATATCGTCTACAACCCCACAAGCAGTTCAACCTTTCTGACCTCGGTTTGGGAAACGGGAGTAATGACAACATCCTTCAGAACTGTTAGCACATTTCACCTTCCATTGTCTGGTCTGTGCGAGTGCCCGAGGAATATTCGATACCAGCTTGTTATCAGCGATGCCAGGCAGGAGTTGAGCAGCAGAAACATGTCAAATGTCACTTTCCTACTGTGCCAGTCTTCAGACTGTATCTCTGGGGCTTGGTTTCTTCCCCTCCATTACAAAACCTCCACCTTTCATTTTCTTGTTCAAGAATTGACGGGAGGGTCTGGGTGTGGTGGTGCTCACCCATCATCCCAGCACTCGGCAGGCCGAGGCAGGAAGGTCACGAGTTTGAAGACAATCTGAGTGACAAGGCAAGACCATGGGGGGAAGCAGGTGGAAGGTTCCGAATTCTAGAGCTTGCAAAGGTGAGGAAACTTCTGACCAAGCCACCCCCGGCATTCCAGCAGCCAGAATGGCTTAGCTCCCCTCCCACGTCCATGTCCAGAGCTGTCCTTCTACACTCAGGGATTTTGGTGAGGCCTCTTCAGACCAACTCTTGACTTTGTGAGTCCCTGGTCATCACCATCATCACCTCACACTGCATCTCTTGCATCGCTCTGGGGAGAAGCTGAGATTGTTGACTGGCACCCCAAGAGCCTGACCTTTCTTCTTAGAAGGCTATCTGGTGGATGACAGATCTGTGATGGATTCAGCTCAGTGGGACCAACATTAGGCTTTTGCAAGGCTCCTGGGTGCAGCTCTCATATATGCCTCTACTGGACACATTGCTGGCTCTGCAGTTACCCTGGGCACCTGCTTGGGCCTCATTTAGGCAGAAGTGGGAACCTGCAGATACAGACTGGTCCTGGCTTGGAAGACTCAGCTCACTGCCTCTATTCCCAACAGCAGGAAAACACAGTAGGAGCCTCCCCCCTTTTTTTCTTTCCTTTTTATTGCCTTTCTTGCCTTCTTTACTGTTTATTGTTTATTGAAGACAGGGTCTCATGCAGCCCAGGTGTTCACACTCACTATGTAGTCGAGGATGATGTTGCATTCCTGATCCTCCTACCTCTGCCTCCCAAGTGCTGGGAGCATCACCACGCTGGGATTAAATTTAGGGCTTTGCAGATGCTGACCAAGCACAGTGCCAACTGAGCTATGCCCCTCGGCCCGTCTCTCCCTTTTAAAATGAAAGAACACATCCTCTCTCTTCCCTGGATACATCTCAACACTTTCTGCTATAGAAACCATGGAAACTCCAGAAGAAAGTAGAGAAAAGGACATTAAAAAAAAATTCACACTCGAAGCTAACCCTGCGGTAACTGATATGTGTGACTCCCTCTGTAGAGGGCTCACGCAGCGGGGAGTCAGACTGAATGTGGTTGTGCTGAGCTCTAGAGTGCCATTGCCTTCAAATGCCTTTTCCTTTAAGTCCCAAAGCACTAGAGGTGCTGGGGTGGGGCATCTCCCAGGACCCTGCTTCCCCTTCCTCTGCCTCCTGGCCTCCAGGCCCTGGTCTTCCTTCCCACTCATCCACTCTCACTCTGAAGCTCAGCGACCTGGTTTCCGGGCAGGGATGAGCACATCAGGAGGTGGGCCTCCCTGGGTGGTGACAAGCGCCGCACTGGACAGCCTAGGGGTCTTGCTAAGTGGAAAGCGAGTCCAGCAGTTACCTCAGACCTCGGGGCAGAGAGAGAGGGTGGTGTGGGAAAGGATGGTGACGTGGCCTCAGTATTCTGTGCTCCCAAGTATTTTTCTCCATGTGTTCTGGAGCATTGGAACCTTCCAGGGAACGGGACTTTTGCTCTAGAGCCTGCACAAGAACACAGCAGTCCCGCTCGCCTGTTGAATGCCTGGGACGGGGTCCCCAGCCTGTGCCTGCCTGGAACCTGATTCTCAGCTGTGGCTGCGGGTGGTGCAGTAGCCAGGGCCCCAAGCACCTCGGGGGTCTCTTTTTCCCTCCCAGCTCTTGATTTTGGGTCAAGTGGTTGGAAGTCTGTCTTTCTCTCCTGTTCCCCCCTTTTCCCGCGCTCTGGGCCACCATGCCCCTGATAACACTTGGAAGGCGCTATCGACGCGGGAGTGTCCTCCCACCCAGCCCACTGCCAGGCTCTATGCTGACAGTTGGCAGCCTGCACAGGCTGATAAACTTATCAGGCCAAACCTGAGCACGGCTAGGTCAGAACATGTCCTGCCTCAGATTTCCCTCCAGTTACCTTTCTGCAGTCACAGTCCCCGAGAACCCTGGCCCTGCCTGGCTCCTGGCAGAGCCCAACCCCAACTAGACCTATGGAAGCCATTGGGGTAGCACCCTTCCAAGCCAGAACTAATGCTGTGTCCTGGAAGAGTCAAGTGTTCACTGTCCAGTTCTCAATTCCTAAGCCAGGGTACTGCTTTACCAGTTGCCAAAGATCCAGGGGTCCCCGTGGACCTAAATTTACTAGGAACAATCAGGTATTGGACCCAAATGATGGAGCCTAGCATCTGCTCTAAGGCTACTCCTGAGGCTGGAGCAAGTCAGCCAACACTGCTAAGGCAGAAAGAAACCTGTCCCCAAGGAGCTGTCTGCCCATGTAACAGGAGCCTAGAGAGGCTGGCAGTTTGGAGGGAAGGAGCGGAAAGGCAAACCTCAAATTACTATAAACCTCAAATATAAAGCTCAAGTTATATTTGAACAGCGGGAGTCTTTTTTTAATGCCAATGATAATGTTATCATCCTGCCTGTTGCAGGAAACAGCGTGCTTGGGCATACACTCATCACACACACAGAAGAAAGACAAAGCATGCATGCACACCGTTTCCCCTCAGGGGTGGCCCCTCTAGACACCCTTGCATCCTTCCTCCTTCTATGTGTGCATATAACAAACAGAATTGTACCATAACACTTACGCTTTTTTTTTTCAAAAAAAATGTTTTATCTATTTTCTGGGTGTGGGCGCTTTGCCTGTATGTGTGTCTGTGCACTACGTGTGTGCCTAGTGCTCTTGGAGGCTCTGGAACTCAAGTTACAGATGGTCCTGAGCCACCACGTAGGCAGTGAGGGTTAGACCTGGGTCCTCTGGACTAGCAAGCAGTGTTCTTAACCACTGAACCACCTCTCCAGTCTTGTATACTGATTTTTAAAAAGAATTATGCATATGTGTGTTTTGGTCATTGTTGGAGAAAGTACATGCAGGTGCTTTGCAGAGGTCAGAGGATCAGATTCCCTGGAGCTGGAGCTACAGGGCATTGTGAGCTGCTTAACATGGGTGCTGGGAACCAACCCCATGTTCACTCAAAAGCAGTACTCACTTTTAACTGCTGAGCCAACTTTCCAGCCCATGTGTCCTGAATTTTAGACTCCCTTTCACTTGAAATAACTTCCTCTGGGAAGCTGTTAATTCTGCAAATTTATTTTCTCTTCCATTCCTCAGGCATACACATGCCCTAAATCCAAGGTTCTCGGACAAACAGCAGGAGAATGAGTCACCAGTCTTTGCCAGCCCCCAGAAGCCTGGACTAACAATACCTTGGTGGGTCTTCTTCAGGCTTGCCTTTGTAAATTGTCAGTGGGCCTGGGTGACGGTGGAGAATTAGCTTTGGAGTCGCCATGGACACTCATCTCATATAAAATAACCTAGTATTTATTTGTGGTTTTATTTTGCTGTTTTTTTTTTTTTTAGATTAAGATCTTTCATACTGGAGGCTGACTGAACCCTCTATGTAGCTTGAACTTCTGATCCTCTGGCCTCTGTCTCCTCAGAACTGGGATTGTTGGCATCTGCTGTGGCCTGGTATTTGCAAATAGGCCACACATGCGTACATGCATACATACATGCGTACATACATACATACGTACATGCATACATACATGCGTACATACATACATATATACATGCATCCTCACGTATACTCTAGGTTTTTCTTTTTTTCCAATTTCCCTCTCATACTTTAAGCTGCTGCTTTATGACTTATAACCTCTAACACAGAGCAAGTGCCACATAAGTGACTGTTACACTGTGTTGTTCAGGAGTAATGAGAAACAGTGGGAAAGGGGGGCTGGACAGATGTCTCAGCAGTTAAGGCACTGGCTGTTCTTCCAGAAGTCCCAGGTTCAGGTCCCCTGGCACATGGCAGGCTCACAACCATCTGTGGTTCTTGTCCTAGGGGATCCAGTGCCCTCTCCGGTCTCTGCAGGCACCTGCACACATGTGGGGCACGTAAAGTCATGCAGGCGGGGCTCGAGAGATGGCTCAGTGGTTAAGAGCACTGGCTGTTCTTCCAGAGGGCCCGGGGTTCAATTCCCAGCACCCACATGACAGCTAACAACTGTCTGTAACTCCAGTTTCTGGGGATCTGATGCCTTCACAAAATACCAATGCACATAAAGTAAAAATAAATAAAGAAAAAAAAAACCCAAAAAAGTCGTGCAGGCACATGCACACAAAACAGCAGTAAACAAATCTTTTTATCTTTTAATAATGAGAAAAATGTGTGGGCATGGTTGGTTCAGACTCTTTATCCCCCATAAACTTCCTACCCTTGGTTGTCAGGCTCAGTGGTCGTGAGTACAGAGGGCTGTCAGACAAACGACTGTGCTGCTTTGACAGACTGACGTGCCGCACTGCTCTGGTGCTTTCCCTGCATCCGAACGCCCCGTCAGAACAACCCTTACAAAGCACACTTACCCGTTTCAGACAGTGTACAGATGTGCTACCAGCCATGTGGTCAGCTGGTTCTCGTGGGCACTGGGGATGCGCTTTCCTTTATTTTATTTTATTTTATTTCATTTCATTTCATTTTATTTGTCCTGGAACTCTCTTTGTATCCTTGAACTCCCAGAGATCCGCCTGCCTCTGCCTCCTGGGTGCTGGGATTAAAGGTGTGCACCACCACCACCACCCAGCATTCTTTTCTCTTTTATGGACAGAATATACAGACACGCTGCACCCACTAATCTCTTAATTGCCTCCCTAGGAGTGGAATAAGTGATCAGAGTTTGAAAACTTGTTTCTGGGGTCCCTGAGCTCGAATGTGAAGCCAAGTGGATGGCTGAGAGGGAGAGAAGAATGTGCTCCCGCGGAGGGAGCTCCGTGGATGTGAGGAAGAAGATCCACTGTTCTGGAGGGCTCAGGGCTGGAGGGCCCAGCGGAACCTGATTCTCTCACGCCCTGTCTCTGCCTCTCCTCTGTCCTGGGACACCCTCCACTGCCCACCTTAGCCACCTTCCCAAGCTCAACTCTCTGGAGTGTCCCTCTTTCTCCTCTCTTCCGGCCCACAGAGAAGGGCCCTTTGTCTGTGTTTGCACCCAGAGGGCCAAGATTCTTCCTCATTCTCAGACCGTCCCCTTTGGAGCTCCACCCATGCACCTGAGAAGACACAGAGTGGGTTCATTGGCAGAGTGGAGCAGGATTCCAAATCCAAACACTGGGTCACCCATGAAAGCGGGGAAACCAAGAACAAGGTCTCGGGCCCAACTGGATGATGGGACGGACCACAGCTGGGCTTGAGGGACCCTTGGGGGCTGTTCCAATCTTAAAGGTAGCACAGATTCCCATCTTTCCACTCTCAAATGCCCACCACCCAGCCCTGGCTTCCTGGCCTCCGTCTGTCGACCTCATCTTCTCAGCCAGCCTGTTCTATCAGAGGTAGAGAGGGATTGGGCCACTCACAGTCCGCAGCTGACCTAAGAGACATTTCCATCCTTATCACTGATTTACATTGCAGCCGTGGGCCGGACTTCACCCACATTCAGAAGGAACACAGATCCCAGCGGTGGGGATGCAGCGTCAGGCAGCCACCACCAAGCAGACATTGTATATGGCCCCCTACTTCCTAATGTGGTCAATTTGTTTCAATATTAAAATATTGGTTTTTTAAAAAGATTTCTTGTATTTTTGAGTGTGTGTGTGTGTGTGTGTGTGTGTGTGTGTGTGCGCGCGCACAAGTGCTGCTGGTACCCCTGGAGGCCACAGACTGGATTACCCTGAAGGTGGAGTTCCAGGCAGTTGTGAGCTACCTGATATGGGTGCTGGGAGTCACACTGGGGGCCCCTGCGAGAGGAGCAGAATTAGCTCTTAACCGCTGAGCCATCTCGATAGGCCCAGAGCATTTGTTTGAATATTCACCAATGAGTAGCTGACTGATTCTCTGTAGGGACTCACAGCACCCCTCTGATATAGATCCCCCTCCCTCCCTACCCTGCCCTCCACAAAGGAGTTAGCCTGGCAGTCCCACCTCCAACCCTCATATGCTCCCACCACACTGCAGAGTCCACACTACGCAATCCATGAAAATGGAGTTCCCAAGGTTGGGAGGGGGAGGGGCAGCTGTAGGATTAAAACTTGGAAAGCTGAATTCTGACCTGGCTGCTAACTGTCTGTGTGACCTTGAGTGAGAGCCACCCCGTCTGGGTCTGTGGCAAACGGAAGTGACAGGTGATTTTCACAGAGCTGGGTGGTATCTCTCGGTTTGGTTCGCACAGTGACGGGAATTTCTGGCCAGATAGGAAGCTGGGAGGCACCAACAGGAGCAGAGGACAAGGGTCTTGCACTTCCCTCACTTCCAGCCAATGGGCACTGCTCCACCACACCCGCACCCACCGCACCAGCCTCCCTCAGCGCGAGGTGTTACAGAGTCTGTAGCTAGCTGTTCTACCACCAGGCAGAACAATCACAGGTCAGTCTGTGAGGTACCTCAGGGCTTCCTCAGATCCTGGGCTGCTGCCTATGTGAAGCCCGTCCTGCATAACCCCACTCCACTCTGGGCACGGAGCCACGCCAGCCCAATCTGGGCCATAAAGCCTTGCCAGTCTGGGCTCTGGTACCTGTGCCCACACCCACTGTGGTCTGCGATATGAAACACAGCGCCATGAAACAGTGCCAGCCCACTACCTACTCTGAGGCCATTGTGTCTCTTCCCCTTCTGCTATGGGGGCACTCAGTGGATGAGCAAACTGCTTGCCCCCGACCTCAACCTCAGCCTCAGCCAATCTGGAGGAAGGTGTTCACCTGCTTTCCTGTCTCTGCTCTCCCACATCCCCCTCCTACACAAACACACACACACACACACTGCAGAAGTGACTGGAACCCTGATATTGTCTTGGTTTTGTTTAGCAAACAAGACACATGCAAAGCAGGTCTCTGTGTGTTGTGGGGGCGGGGGGGGGAGGCTGTATGCATACAAGAGCATGAGAGTATGTAGGCACAGAGTATCCCTTTACCCATCCTCTACCTTCACACTTTATCTCCTTACCTGAGGGGTGCAGGATTCCCGCCTCACCCCACCCCCACTAAGTGTGGCTTTGGGCCAGTTTCTTGTGTTGTCTGGGCAGGAAGAGCCTCATATTCATTGCCAGGGGTCCGAATACCCTAAACAAGTCCGTTTAAGAGGCCAAGGCTGGCCTGGGGTGAGAACTCAGGAAGTAAAGAGCTTGCTTTGTAGGCACGAGGGACCTCGATTTGATCTTCTGTATGCATAAAAACAGCCAGCTGTTGAGGTGCACACCTGTAATCCCAGTGCTGGGGAGGCAGAGACAGGAGGATTGCTGGGCTGGTTTGGGCCCTCCCACCTAGCAGGGTCCTGTCCCTGTGAGAGGGATAGCCCTTGTGAGGGTTTGAACGGGATCTCTCCCACAGCCTCAGGCATTTGAACACTTGGTTCCCACTTGCTGGTGAGGTTTGGGAGATTTAGAGGGTGCGGCCTTGTTGAAGGAAAAGTGTCACTGAAGGCAGGGTTTGAGTTTAAGGATTTGTGCCATTTTGAGATCATTCCCTCGACTTCATGCCCGCTATACAAGACGTGAGCCCTCAGCTTCCTGCTCCAGCTGCCATGCCTGCTGCTTGCCACTGTGACAGACTTAGCCCTCTGAAACCATAAAATTCCAGTAAACCTTTCCTTCCACAAGTAGCCTTGGCCATGCTGTGTAGCCCTGGGTGTCCTGGAACTTGCTCTGTAGACCGGGCTGGCCTCGAACTCACAAACCTCCACCTGCCTCTGCCTCCCGAGTGCTGGGATTAAAGGCGCGCGCCACCACTGCTATAGGACCACAGTGTTTTATCGTGGAAACAGAAAAGTAACAAATACAGCCCTCCAACTCTTGAGGCACACACACACACACACACGTTTAAATTGTGTTTTGCAGAGGAGCCTTTTAAAGACAATGGAATTCTTTGAGGGTTCCTTGTCTTGCTTTGTTTTGGTTTTGCTTTGGCTTTTGGTATTAGGAATTGAACCCAAAGCTTCACACATTCCAGTCAAACGCTGTACCACCATTACAGCCAAGCCACCATGGAATTTCTTTACTGAACACCCTCACATCTCCAATAGGCTGGGCTCTTGGAGCTTCAGTTGTCTCATCTGTAAAATGGGACAATATCACATGCCTTGTGGAGGGTTGTGTGGAGTGGAGAAAATGTATAGGAACGCTTGTGTCTGTACTTTCTACCAAGGGACTGTGAGCAGATCCTGGGCCGTGGATGGGAGACACAAGTAGTTTGGTGTTAGAGGAGAGAGCCCCTGGCTGGGATAGCCAAGGGGGGCTTCGTGGAGAAGGTGGCACTGGTGTGGTATTATTGGAGGGGCAGGACTCTAAATAGGAATGCAGAGGGCTTGGTGGTGCTTGTGAGAACTGGTTCCTGTGCACTGTTTTCCTTGGATAATTTCACAGAATCCTGCTAATATTGCCACCTGGACAGGACTGCTGTGATTACAATGAAACTCAAGGAAGCCAGGCATTTCTCTCTGAGCCAGAGAGGTTCAGAGCCCTCCTGAAGTCCCAGAGCTCGTCGGGAAGCAGCCCCAGACTTCACTTAGTCACTCCTGTCAAGCTCCTTTTGCCATCCTCACAAGGCAACACTAAAGAGGTCTGTGCCCATTCCTTATAGCTGCTGTAGGAGACTGATACTGCCTGCAGCAGCCCTAGCCCCACCCTCCCAGGCACCTGCCATGATGTTTCTCAGTTGGTCTGTTAGCTCCTTGTCTAGGCCCTAAAGTCTTCAGACATTCCAGGCCCCTAGTAGGCACTTTACAAATGGCCAGATCCATCTTTATTTTCATTTACATCAGTTGAGAGGAACAGGCTTCTGACACACCAACTCCTCATTTCCCAGCCCTGTGGCTGTGGAGCCTGACTCCCAGATGAATGTGGTGGGCTGGGGGGCAAGGGTGAGCAGACAGCACATCTGGCTAAAGCAGAGGGGTGCCAACCTTCAGTTGGGGCAGGGGGAACTCTGACTATGGTAGCCAGGAAGAGAATCCTTAAAGCTTCCAAGTCACCAGGCCCAGAGAAACAGACAGGAGGGCTTCTCTGATAGACCCAGTTTTTGTCTGGCTTTGCCATTCTGATTTTGGACACCAGGGTCTTGTAGCCTTCTGTGCTCCGGCAGGGGACAAGACCAGCGTACATCTGTGACTACAGTTCAGAAAGGCCCGAGCTGACACCTTAAGGCAGTCAAAGAAGGAGTGGGGCTTGCTTGATATCGCCCAGCAACTCCACAAATCTCAAAAGAAGCCTCTTGGACAGTCTCCTGGACAGCACTGCTTCTGGGAGGATGGGGGACCAGGGTCAGAGTTGTGAGAGTGGCCTTCACATGAGACACACTGGAACAGGCTGGCCGGTAATCTCACTTGAGGTTGTGCTGGCTCTCACGGTGACGACGTAGGTCCACCTTGCGCTGGAAGCCCTTGGTGCACAGCTCACAACTGAAGGGCTTGAAGCCTGTGTGCTTGCGGCTGTGGGTGATGAGGTTGGAGCTCTGGCTGAAGGCCTTCCCGCACACCTGACACTTGTGGGGCTTCTCACCTGGGGAAAGGGCAAACGGCAGGGTGGGGTCAGGAGGCAGTGCCAGGCCTGCAGCCTCCACCCTGCAGACATTCATTCTCTATTATGTCTCTTTTATGGCCAACCTTAGAGAATGGTGGAAAATAGCCAGGCGGTGGCGGCGTACACCTTGATCCCTCCACTTGTGAGGAAGAGGCAGGTGGATCTCTGAATTCAAGGCCAGCCTGGTCTACAGAGGGAGTTTTAGGGCAGCCAGGGCTACACAGAGAAACCCTGTCTCCAAAGAAAACAAGGAAGGAAGGAAGGAAGGAAGGAAGGAAGGAAGGAAGGAAGGAAGGAAGGAAGGAAGGAAGGATCAGAAAGTGGAGAGCTACAATAGATATACCCCGGACCAGGTATGCTGGTGCACAACTCTAACCCCAGCAGCCTGGAAATAGAGGCAGGGGAATTTTGAGGTTGAGATTGAGGTCAGCCTCAGCATCATATTAACTTCAAGGCTATCCTGGGGCTATGTGAGAATTTGTCTCAATAAGCAAGCGAAATAAACAAAATTACCTCTCTGATGGTCAATTGTCAACTTGATGGGACTTAGGATTACCCAGGAGACACACTTCTGGGAGTGTCTGTGAGGAATTTTCTAGATTGGGTTAACCGAAGGTCCACCCTAAATGAGGCTGGCACTGGTCCATGGATTGCGGTCCTGGACCGAGTGCACAAAAGGCAGAAAGCAAGCTGAGCGCCGGCCTTCCTTCCTCTCTTTCCTGACTGTGGGGGTAATGTGACCTCATGCTCCTGCTGCCATGTCTTCCTGCCGCTGCAGACTGTACCCTCAAACCGTGAGTCAAAATAACCCTTCTCGTAAATCGCTCCCAACACTCATCCTGGTCATGTAACACAAAAAGTAACTGATGCTGTCTCTCTCTGGAGTCTAAGCTGGTCTAAGCTGCCGCAGACCGTTCTTGTTCCTCAATAGACCCCCGTGGCCTGGGCAGGGACTGGCCCACACAAGCACTGGGTTATGGCAGAGAGAGCGTGACAGAGCGAGCGGCTGTGTGAGTGGGTGGATGAAACTACACATTCTGTCCGCGTTCTGCTGCGGGCCCATGCTGACTTGGCTATCTCTCTAGTGTTTCTTCACATTGAGTGATTGTCCAGCCCTCCAGGGCCCCATCAAGCGGGCCTCTTGGCAAATGATAGGATACCCAGAGTTCAGGAGGAGATCCGATGACCTTTTCCCAGGCTTGGCTTGGGGGCACTCACCTGTGTGGATGTAGGTATGTTTCTTCATGTCCGACTTCTGATGGAAGCGCTTCCCACAGAACTGGCAGGGGTAGGGCCGTGTGTCCGAGTGGATGAGCAGGTGGGTAGATAGGGTGGATGAGCGCTTGAAGGCTTTGCCACACATCCGGCACTCGAAGCTACGCTCCTGCCGGAGGAAACGAGGCCCTGGGGGGTCAGGTGCAGGTGGGGCCTCGAGGCCCGGGACAGCCAAGCTGGGCGCAGGACTGGACCCGGCTGGGACGCCCTGAGAAAGAGGACACTCCGTTGGGGTGGCCTCAAGGGCAGGGTCTAGTGGAGCAGGAAGAACCTGCGGCCTGTTTCTGCTTCCCTGGCTTAGACTGAAGCTGCGGCCTGACTGTCTTCCTATGAGATAGTTCCTTGTGCCTTTCAAGGCATACTTCTCAAAACAGGCCTCAAGGTGTGTTAGCTGACTGACAAATGAAACCACTCACCTAAATATTTCAGGATTTCACCAGTAACCCAGAATGAGTTCCTCTTGGCTGGGACAGTGACGTGCTGAGTCAGTTTAGTTAAGACAGGCTATCACCTAGCCCAGATTGACCTTGAACTTACTATGTAGGTAATGATGACCTCGAACTTCTGGTCCTCCTGCCTCTGCCTCCTGAGTGCTGTTCTGTACACAACCATTTCTGGTTCATTTGAAGTTGGGGCTCAACCAAGGGCCTCCTGTACGCTAGACAAGCACTCTTCCAACTGAACCACCTCCCCAGCCTAGCAGCCCTAGGATTTGGGGAGAGCCAATTAGCTTGGTGTTGATAGATTTCTTCATTTCTGGGTATTGGGGCAGTTCTAGCAGTAGCATGGATTGGCTGTGGGAAGTTGGGAAGTTGAAGACAGGGCCAGCTCCCAGTTTGTTGCCGAGGGATAGAAGCTCCTGGAAGCTCCCACCGTTCCCATCTACCCAGGCATTAGTAATCCACTTCCATCTGGTTTATATGACCTCTCTGGAATCGGGCAAAAGAGAGCTGGAGAGATACATGTTCCACTCTGGAAAGGAATGGGTCCCAAGACTGGGTCCCAACTGACCGAGATAAGTGGGGTAAGCTATGCATTTAAACCTAACTCTAACATTCTGAGAATTGAGGATGCCTTCAGGGCCACCCAGCACATAGGATGCTTTCCTGGTCTCACAGACATATTCTAGCCCCCATCCCCAAATCCTCAGTGCTTCTTCCGACCAGATGTGAGGCCAGTTCAGCCCATCAGAGACCCAGTATGTTAGGAGACTCAGACCCAGGGAAGCAAGTAGTGAGTCGTCCCCGCTCCCCGCCCAATTTGTGTCACCTTCAGCCTTTTCCAGCTGCTCACCTGGGAATGGACATGCGTGTGCTGCTCTAAGCTCACAGCGTGGCCGAAGGTTTTGCCACAGATGTCACAGGCAAAGGGCCGGGTCCCACTGTGAGAGCGGCGGACGTGCACTTCTAGCCCATGAGGGGTGGAGAACACCTGGGACAGAGCGGAGGGTCAGGCCCCTGAAGGAGGCAGGCCTGTGGTCATTCAGGCCACGGGCCCAGCTCCTGAGCAGGATGGAGCAGGAAAGGGAACTGCATTGGTTGTAGTGGCATTTCATTTGTATTTTAATAAATAAAGCCTGCCTGAAGAGCAGAGAGTAAAACAGCCCCAATGATCAGCCTTGCAGACCAGGCAGTGGTAACCTATGTCCTTAATCCCAGTAGCCACACTAGTTGTCATAGAAACTGGGCGGTACTTGCCTTTAATCCCAGTGGTGCATGCCTTTAATCCCAGCCCCAGAGACAATTATAAGGCAGAAGGAGACAGCTCTCAGTCTCAGACCCATTCTGAGATTCTTGGAGGTGGGATCGCCATTTCGGACTGAGTTAAAGGTAAAAGCCAGTGGCTGGCTGTTTTGCTTTTCTGACCTTCAGGTTGCACCCCAAGTTCTTTCTCTGAGTTTTTATTAATTGTGCATCAATTGGTGGTCCTGCTGTTCTTCTATTGTGTATCCCAGGGAGCCCTCTTACCTCTCTGTGACAGTCCCCTGTCTATAAAAGGGAAGCTGTAGGAGGGATCCAGAAGGCCCCTCCAGCCCTCATGCCATGCCTGCCCGTCACTCACCTTGTTGCACTTGACACAGTGGTAAGTGTCCATGCCCGGAGAGTAGCGGAGGCTGAAGTCCAAGGGGGACTCGGTGCTGGGCACAAGGGGGCTGCCATACAGCCTCACGGAGCGTTCCAGAAAAGCCGACTGCATGGTAGAAGGGGTCTGTTGGTAGCTGTGGTTGTAGGAGGAAGCCAGGGTATCCCAAGAGAAGCTGGGCTTGTAGAAAGGGGGTGACTCAGAGACTGGCGACTCTCCATCCTGGGGTTGGGATGTCACCAGAGGCCCCTCTGTGTAAAGACACATGTGGGTGATTTATTGTAAGGATTTACTTTTAACTTTTTTATTTATGCAAGTGTGTACTGTGTGTGTTGGTGCCCTCAGAGGCTAGAAGAGGCTAGAAGAGGGTACCCTAGCTGGAGCTACAGGCAGCCATAAGTTGTCTTGTGATGTTCAGGTCCTGGAGGGGCAGCAGGCGTTCCTAACTGCCATGCCTTCTCTGACCACCAGGTGATCAATCGTTTGTTTATAGACAGGGTCTCTCTATGTAGCCTTGGATGTCCTAGAACTCTCTCTGTAGACCAGTCTGGCCTTCAGTTTACACAGATCAGCCTGCCTCTTGCCTCCCGAGTGCTGCTGGGATCGAAGGTGTGCACCACCACCACTTGGTTCAAGCAATTAATTTTGAAATAAGGTGGCCCAGTGCTCCATCTCCCCTGGTGATCTCCCATTGAGGGTTCCAGTGTGCACCCCCAATATGCACCATTGCTGTAAGTCTTCACTGCGGTTTCAGGCCCCGCACCCTGGGCCACCACCTGACCACCACCCTATAGACCTCCGCCTCACACCCACAGCTCAAAAGCCCTCATCTGGAGCAAATGTCTGACCGGAAGTGTGCAGCAGAAGCAGGGAGCCCGGGCGGCATCCAGTGACCTCACTGGCCCTCCCCAGTTTCATGGCCCCAAGAAGTTCTACCACAGAGGCCAACTGTTTTCCTCTCTGGCACTCACAGGAGACAGTGGGGACCCCCTGCTGGGTACCTGGGGCTGAGGTCATCTTGGGCAGGCTCTGGTCCAGCAGCACCTCCCGCTCCTGTTTGACTGCGTTCCAGTCCAGGGTCTGACTTGGGAGTAGTGTGCCAAGGACAGGGCTGCTACTCAGGATATGCTCTTTCATCACTGTGAGAAAACAAGACCCAAGAGTCACTACCTACAGTTCTGGAATGTCTGCAGGAGCAAGAGGCACCATGTTTCCAGAAAGAGGGAAAGCAGCGGCACTCATCCACTGTGGCTCACACCAGATCCTCCGGCCGGCATGGGGAGAGGTAAGGAAACCCAGAGCACCTGACCTCAGATCTCAATTGGATTCATGTGTCCCTATCTGGCTCCAAGCTTGATGCACCCAGAACCCAAATGCTAGAGGAGATGAGCATTTCATCCCTTCATTCATTCATTCATTCATTCAGTCAGTCAATCAGTAACAGCTGCACTGCTCCTTCTAGCTGCAAAAGAGATGCAGCAGCAGTGTCCAGACAGAGAGTCCAGTGGGCACGGGGTGGGGTCTAGCCTGAGCTCAGACTCACCAGGAATCACAACAGGAGGCCAGACCAGGTCATCGTCCTGTGCACGGGGCTGGTGGTAGGTGTGCGCCTTCTTACTCTTCACTAGAAAGGACCGTGGCATTTTTCAAAGTGTGAGCCACACCTGCAAGGAGAAAAGGGGCGGGAGTGGCTAAGAGTGACCAGCATCCTTCCTTTGGATTTTGGAGCCTCCTCCAGATATCAAAGACACCCTACTCCACCCTGGGTTGTATAGTTTCCCCAAAAGTTCACATCCACCTGGTACCCGTGAATGTCACATGAAGTTAAGATGTGACTGGAAATAGGCCTTGCACCCAAAATGACCAGTGACCCTACAAGAAGAGGGAAACCTGGGTGTACAGAGAACTGCTTGTGTATCAGAAGCAGGAATTAGGGACGCTAAGGACGGCTGACTGCTTCCATGAGCTGGGAGAGACCCAAGAAGTGGATTTCTTGGAACTTACAGAAGGAACCAAACTTACCGATACTTTGACTTTGATCATCTGGGCCCCCCCAGAACTGTGAATTAGTCACAGGCAAAATATACTCATGTTTAGCAATTAGAGTCAACCTAGATTGTATTGGGAAGGGAAAGAGAGGATGGAGCTGGGGTTTCTGAAGCAGACACCCTGGACCCCGGTTCTGAAAGTTATACTTGAATGGTTGGGGGTGCAGCTCAGTTTGTAGAGTGCATGCACTAAGCAATGATTTCAATCCCTGCGCAAAAACAGGTATGATGGTGCACGCTTATAATCTCAGCTTTTGGGAAGTGGAGGCAGGAGGATCAGTAGTTCAAAGTCGCCCTCAGCTTTATGGCAAGTTCAGAGCCAGCCCGGGTTATAGGAAGCCCTGTCTAAAACAAACAAGGCTCAAGAGCTGTTCTTGAGTTGCAGTTGGACACACTTTGAGAGATCACCCAATCTGAGCTTATATTTTTACATGAAAAAGCTCACGGAGAAGCCAGGTAGGGTCGTGCACGCCTTTAGTCTCAGCACTCAGGAGGCAGAGGTAGTTGGACCTCCTCAAGTTCAAAACCAGTCTGATCTCTAGAGTGGTTCCAGACCAACCAAGACCACATAGTGAGACCCCGTCTCAAAAACAACAACCCCACACTCCCCACCCAAAGAAACTCATAGGGAGAGACCCTCTGTTTGCCTGTTGTTCAGTTTGTCTACTTAACTTCTCTGGGCTAATTTCCTCTACTTAAGGTGTGCTGCCCAGCTGGAATGCTGGTGAGGACCCCAGGTTTTCACTCCTGCTTTTGGCAGGGGTTGAGGAGGGGATACTTACAGAGGAACTTAGAGCAACCGAGACATTGAGAACCTTAATTGTAAACCTTTATTGCCCGGCAGGCTGAGAGCGGCTGTGGCCACACCTTCAGCTTATATTCTACTCTCCAGAAAGGGAGGGGATTTCTGTCTGTGAATCATGGGAAGAGGCCTAAGGCAACCCATCCGCTACACCTGGAGGTTTGCTGTTTTCTCACGGGTGGAGATAAGGAGGTGAGTGTCCGTCAATTCAAGCGGTGAGTATCATCACTTAACTTCCTAGTCGGGTTTGGGGAGAGTTTGAGGATCAGATGAGTCGAAGGACTGGCTCAGGTCAGAAGGCTCCTGCTGAGTCACCTAGGGTAGCATATGGTGGCCCTCCCACAGATGGCCTGTATCTCTGCCCTAGTCTGTGCGGTGCTTTCACGGTCCTGGGAGACAGAGAGCCCCCTTTGGAGTCCTCTATCTTCCCTGTACTCCAGGCTGTTCAAGCTGAAAATCGAGAGCCTGGGAGGAGTCCCACCCCCACCCTCACCCAGGACCAGCCACCCGCTGAAGGCTACGTCTGTGATACGCCCAGCAATGGCGGGAAAAGGATTTGGCTGCGACTGAACAACAGTGCAGGCTAGGCGATAAGACCTCAGCTCAGACCGGGGTGGGAGACAAGATTAGGAAGGACAGCTTGGAGCTTAGTCTCAAGTCACTCCTGTCCCAGGGGGTGAACCTCAAGTCTGCTTCCACACTGGCCTAGAGCCCTGTTGGGGAGTATCAGTGGTTGGTAGCCAGGCCCGGCCTGCTTTGCTGTGGTGCCTGTGTGCAGGTCAGCTAATAGGGGGAACTAATTCAATGCCGGGCATTGCTGGGAGCAAGAAAAGGCCTTGAGTGTGCAAGGTGTGCAGACACCTAGGCTGAGCCATTGTGTGGCTTCTCCACTCTCTGAGGAGCTGAAGGGGCCAGGAGGAAAGTTTGGCTTAGCCCAGCAGGTGTACTCTAAGCATGAACCAGAGAGCTGGCACAAGTTCAAGGTCCTCCATTCTCTGAACTCTAAAACGAAGGATGGAACTTAGACTCTTGGGTCCATTCCACCGAGAGATTCTCAGGTCTCTAAACAAAGGATTCGGAGGGGCGGCTGCTCTTTCTGGTACACACATCAGCCACGACCTTATCTTCCAGGGACAGCCTTCCTCCCCGCCCTCTTCCCCTCCTGGGTTCTTCTTTCCTCCCCCTTCTGAATCTTTCCAGCTCTTCACTTCAACCCTGAGAGGATGAAGGTGGGCAGGAGGTGGGGGGGGGAGCGGCTGGGTTTGCCTCCATCTTTGTTCTGGGAAGACCTCGAGAGCCACAATCTATCAAAAGCTGGTCGATTTTCTTTTACATACATTATTTTCTTAGGAGATCAACTAAAACCAAGATGCACCCTAAAGTAGTCAAGATAAGGCAAAGTGAAAAAGAACTGATGGTAACCAGGGTCTCTCACAGAAGAGAGGCTGCATTTGAGCCTGCTCCACGCAGAACAAGGCCAGGCAGGAGGTGTCCGTCCGGCCCCAGGACCTCCTACTCACAGCATGGAGACAGCAGTTATTCGGTGTGGTCTGTGTGCCACCGGTTGTGCCAGGCCTTTCATGGTGCAGCTGCTGCACCAAGGAGGAAAAGAAGCCATGGTCTCAGCCCTGTTCTGTGTCACTGGCAAGAGGGAAGTAGGAAGTGTCCTCGGGTGGCAGGTGGGGATCTCAAGACTTAGAGAGGATGCTGGCTCCTCCAAGATCAGGGCAGAGCCAGACCTAGGGCTATGGTCCTGTTTGGATTTGACTTCTGGTCCACTGTCCCCACCCCACCCCCAATACCGTCTGTGCTCCTCACAATAGCCACTGGTATAGACTACAGCACCCAAAGAAAATGGGAGCTAGAACAAAAAGCCATATTCCTCTGACCCTCAAAGACCCCACCCAGGGTCCTGACCAGCTTCCGATGGAAGACAGATAAGAACTTCCTTAAAGCTAATTTTGCTTGTGGACCAGAGGTAAGGGTAACACGAGGTAAACCGACCAAAATCCAGGGCAACACAGAACCATGACCGCCAACATCCTAAGCCCTTATGCTCACTTGACAAGCAAGAGGTCCTGTTTTTTTTTTTTTTTTTTTTCCCCCCACTGGATTGCTCTAGCCCTTATTTGTTCCCTTCCAGGGCATTCTCTCCCCTAACCTGGCAAACAGACATACAGCACTTAGCCAGACCCCCAAGCCTACAGTGGGAGCCAAGTGTCCCCAGAGAATTTCCTTCTCACCCTTGTTGAGTGAGTTTAAAAAGGAAAGAAAGAAAACAGGAACCGATTACCTATAGTGTAGCTAATTAACAACCACTCGGTTTTGATTCAAATACACCATTCTAAGAAAGAGCTCAGGGCAGAGATTGTGAAAGACACTCGGATTTCTTCATAAAACAGAGGCGATGATGGTATCTGGCGTCCGGAAAGAGGCCCCTGTTAGCGTGCTTCATAAACCTTCTACCCCAGGGTCGATGGCAGTGGGTCCATCGACCCTGAGTCAGAACCTCAGCTGGGGTTGCCTCGAGGGACACAGCATCCTACATGCCCAGGTTTTGAGTATAGTGGGCTCAGGGGGATTTGATTGTCCTGACCTGTGGCACCTTGGACAGCCAGTGGGGACAAGTCTGATTCTGTGACCGCGTGAGCCGCTAACCTGGGTTTGGTTTTCCTATCTCTCAGAAGAGACGGTTGGGCTAAGAGATTTCTAAACTTCCCCTTTACTCTAAAAATCCCACGTCCAATCTGTCGGCCTTTAGCTAGGGACTGAGCCACCTTGCCTGAGACACTGGCCACTTGGGTTCCCTTTTCAGGAGGGTTGGGCAAGACTGAGTTGATTCTCAGGGTCAGCTACAGGGGACCCTTTGGACTTCCTTATGTATAAGGGCAGAAGGGAAGGAGGGAACAAACAAACAGAGCCATCTCCCCGAGTCATGGGCCAGGAGCCTGAATCACCTTAGGGAGCCTAAAGCCAGTGAGTTACTGTGCAATCCCCAGCACCGCCAAATACAAACACATAAAGTGAGCTAGTGACTTCCAGCCATACACTGAAGCACAGAGTTCAGACACTGTGTACATCCACGTTGATAGCAACTCCATCGTCAAGAGCTGACAGGTGCAGGTTCCATCCAGGCAGGATGGATCAGCACAGTACAGCCAGGCCAGAGCACGCAGTACGATTCGGTGTACCAACCGAAGGAAACTCTGGCGGCGTGCATGGCACGATGAACCCTGAGAACATGGGAGGAGAGATAAGCCAGCCACAGAAGGACAAGTGTTGTCCCGTTGCACAGAATAGGCAAATTCACCGAGACTGGAGTAGATTTGAGGTTAACAGGAGGGATAGGTATTGGCTAATAGGTATGGAGTTTCAGTTTCACAAAAGGAATGGGATGGATGCTGGGGGTGGTTTACAAGGTGAATCCACTTGACAGCTAAGGAAAAGTTCATAAGAAGAGCTAGGCACAGGGGCAAGCCCCTGATGTCCTGGATACTTGGGAGGGAGTCAGGAGGACTGTGTGTGAGCCTGGGAGTGCCAGGCCAGCCTGGGCAAACATGGGAGACACTGTCTCCAGGAAAAGCAAGTGGGTCAGTGGGTCTCGGAGGGCCTTTCCTTGCCATGGAAGGCCGATGACCTGCATTCAATCCCTAGAACCCATGTGGTAGAAAGAAAGAATGGGACAGACGGTGGTGGTGCACGCCTTTAATCCCAGCAGAGACGGGCAGATCTCTGTGAGTTCAAGGTGAGCCTGATTTACAGAGGGAGTTCAGGACAGGCCTCAAAGCTCCAGAGAAACCATGTCTCAAAAAAGAAAAAAAAAAAAAGAAAAGAAAAAGAGAGAGAGAGAGATGCGCTCCATAAAGCTGTTCTCTGACCTCCACATGTGTGCTGTGGTATGGGCACCCCACATCTCTCTCACACTCAAACAAACCCTAATAATAATACTACTAATAACAGAAATAATATTTTTTTGCTGTTTCTTTGAGACAGGATCTCTCTACGTGGCTCTGAAAGTTCTGAACTCTCTTGTACACCAGGCTAGCCTTGAACTCACAGAGATCTACCTGCCTATGCCTCCCAAGTGCTAGGATTAAAGGCTTGTGCCACCATGCCTAGTTAATGACCATAATTTTAAGCTAATTAAAGAAAGGAAAGATAAAAGAAAAATGAAGGAAAAGAGCTGGGGGTGTAGCTCAAACTGTGGGGAAATGGAGGCAGGATCAGAAGTTTAGGGTCTTTTTTTTTTTTTTTAACTACATAGCGAACAAAGAAAGAAGAGGCCAGGGGACCTGTGTACTTCTGTGGCAGACCCTGAAGTCCACACATAGGAGCACCACACAAATCAAAAACAAAAGATGGTCAATTTCATGTACATATATTACCACAATGGAAACAAAATCGAGTAAATGAAACATTATCTGCACTAAGAGCCGAGCAGTGTCTGTGGTTGGGATTGCCGCGGGAAAGGAGTCAAAACAAATACCTCCAGACCGAGGAGCCTTCTGCTATTTCTGCCAGGGAGCCAATGTCGTGTCCCAGGGAAGGGAGACCTCGAGCTAGCTGGTTCCAGGACCTCTAGTGGGACCCTCACCATGCCCCCTTTCCTGAAGCATCGGGAATGGTGAACGCCATTAGAGTGATTCCATCAGTCAAACCTAAATGATGCAGAACTGCCCAACTCTCCTCCCCACACACACACATGTTGACCCCTAAATTGAAATGTTATACCTCTCCTGATGGAGAATGAGCCAGTCACCACTTTGCAGGGCTTGGAAGGACACAGGTAGATGGAAGGGCACAGTTCTGCCAGCACCCAGTGGCTCCCATACCCGCAGCCAGAGGTGATCTGAGCTTTCCGCTAGTGGTCTCCTAAAGATGCTGGCTTTCTCAAGACCCAGCCACGGACCAATAGCATCTACGAGGCATCTCTGCAATGAACCCTATTTTCTAAGAAGCCCAAGAAGGCAAACTTGCCTTTTCCTCTAAAAATAGGTAGGCAGAGCCATGCATGCTCAAAGAGAGCCTGGAGCCCCTGACAGTACTTCCCACCCACAATCCTGTTGTTCCCAGAGGCTGGGGCCGGCTCAGCTTGTCGCTTTCCTTCGGTGGGTTCCAAAGGAGAGGGCATTTGGGTCCTCAGTGGTTCCAGGAACTTTTGAGAAGGTCATCAGGCGTTGTGGGAGGGTGGGCTACAAATTCTTTCTGAGTTCCCAGCACAGGGCAGCTCTGCCCACAGGGGGACACTAATTTGGGCACCTCCAACTGTGTTGCATACTGCCCACAGCCCTAGAAAAACTCAGCATGTGTGTGTGTGTGTGTGTGTGTGTGTGTGTGTGTGTGAGAGAGAGAGAGAGAGAGAGAGAGAGAGAGAGAGAAGATGATTCAGGGTGAAGCCCAGCTGCGTACAATGAGGTTTCACGAAGTTCCGAGAAGGAAGGCATGATCCCTCCACCAGCATGGGTCATCCTAGACTGGCCCGCACTCCTTCCTCCTACTCTCCTCTGGTGATGGGCAGTGCATCCAGAGAGAGACTACCACAGTATTCCCCCTCTAACTGTAAAGAGAAGTAGCCAGTCTGCTTGGGATCCCAGGGCAGAAACTTTTCTGAAGAGTTGGGCCACCACAGAGTCTGGCAGCACTCACCTGCAGGAGCTGTCCCTTTTGTGAGTTCTGCCTGAGGATCCTGAGAGCCCGGAACCTCCACACGCACAGTCCCTGGGGACTGCTCTCAGTTCTGTCAACTTTATGAGTCTCTGCACAAACAGACACTTCTCCTTTTTGCCTCTCTCTCTTTTTTTTTTCCTCTTCTGTTCCCCTCCCTGATTTTCAATCTGATTATTTGTGTCAAAATCTGGCGGCTGCAGCGTCAGCCAATGGCCGGGGCGCGCGAGTGCAGCCACATTTGCTTATCAAAACCTCACAGGAGCTTCTAGCCCACTGGAAATTTCTCCAGAAACTTTGAGTAGGCATTTGGGTGAAAAAAGGGTAGCTAACTTATTAAAATTTAAAACATAAAGCATTCACGTACAGTCCCTGACTTTGGGGACCTGGGGGGGCATTACTTTCTTTAGGTTTTGTTTCTCTACCTTCTTTCCTTCATTCGCTCTCTTCCCTTTTTCCTTTCCACATCCTTCCCCCTTTTCTTTAACCCTTTGTGTCCCCCCCTCCTTCTCTCTCTCTCCTTTTTCTCCTCTCTCCCTCCTTCCTTTTCCTCCTCCTTTCCTGTCTTCCTTAGGTTCAGCATTACTCATTTGTGCTGGGGCATAGAATGGCGTCCCTGCTTCAAAACCCTTGGTTGCTGCTGGGCCACTACACCACACTTAACCAACAAGGTCCCTTCTCCTGCTGGATTCATTTGAAAAAGCAAAACAAAACAAAATTGGAGTGTCCCCAGACTCCAACCATAGATAGGCAGAGTAGAAGAACAGAGAAAGTATGGCAGTGAATTTCGGGGCCTGGGACCCTGTGTCTGGCCAAATCCAAGTACAGATTGAATAACAAGTACCAGGGCCGGCATGTGCTGCCATCTGGTGGCAGCAAAAGAGAAATAGAGGCCAATGGGGGGCCTCTGGGTATCCAGGCCAGCCTGGTACCTTTCACCCCATTTGAACGGATAGCTCCATTCCACCGCCCCCACTTTCTCTTTCCTGTTCTGTCCCTTGGCCTCCTCCCACTTGGGGATGACTGATGTATTCCGGGAAGTTTTGCATACACAGAGAACTCCACAAAACAGCACTGTTAGCTGATTTGCATGCTCTTGCAGTCAGGACTGGAGAGATTACATTTCCCTCATAAAGAAAACAAACGTGGTCACAGGAAGCCCCGATTGAAACTGCAAGTTCAAGGTTCGAAGTGTAGAGAGAAAGGGATGTTTCAACCCGGGCCTTTCTGCTGAGAGGCCCAGCCGTGCAGCCACAGCCAGCGGCCACACAGATTCCCCAGGAAAGCACATGACAGTCGGGGCACAGGTCCCACCTGCTGGCCACAGACAGGAGACAGTCACATCTAGCCTGTTGATTATTCTTTGTGAAAAGAGATTTAAGGAAACGTCTTGAATATTCTTTAGATGGTACATGTTACCAGGTAGCGGTCATTGAGCACTGTGTCACTGTGCAAAAAACTACTTTTGTTTCTGTTTGGTTTTCCGTTTTTTTTTTTTTTTTTTGAAACATGGTTTCTCTGTGTAACAGCCCTAGCTGTCCTGGAACTAGCTCTGTAGACCAGACTGGCCTCAAACTCATAGTGATCCACCTGCCTCTGCCTCCTGAGTGCTGGGATTAAAGGTGTGCGCCACCACTGCCTGCCTTATGCAAAAAGCTTAACAGATCATAATTAGGACATTTTCAAAGCATTCCCTGACATGGCCCAGCTCTCTCTTACTGTCACGTACATTTACACTTGCCTGTCTTTCCTGCCGAGCCACGTCTCAGTTACTCCTTTGTTGATATCTCTAATGTCTTCATACACCACAGCGCGCGCGGTGCCTGTGCGCACAAACACACACACACACACACACACACACACACACACACACACACACACACCCTTTCCCCTGATAACCTTACCAAGACTTTTGGCTTGTGAACGCACAGTTGTTTGGCTGGTCTCTAGCCTCAAGCTGCTGTGTAGCACAACCAGTTCTACGGTGGCTCTGAAGTCCCATCCAGGGAAGGTTCTTGCTGGCCACTGAAGGACCCAGACCCAGGTCTCTTAGACTCCTCTAGAACTAAGCCCCCCTCCCCCTGGGATAGTAGTGGCCAGGCTACCAGCCCCTTGAGTACAGGACCCCCACCTGGCATGACAGGCGCACACAGCCCTGGACCAAGCCACCTGGGTGACCTCTGGAGCCACCAGCACTTCTCTAAGCAGTCAGTCTTGCAGACCACACCTTCCTTTTGTCCCTCAAGGGCTGAATGCCTCCAGCATCTCTGAGATCATTCATTCATTTATTCGACAGTTACTCCCGAGGTCCTTTCTTGAATGTAGTACTTCCCTGCTTCCTCCTCCCTTCTCTGGGTTTGGTCTGTTGGTCAGCGCCTCCTGGGTCCTCTCGCATGGCGGCAGGGGTAAGAGTGTCCAAAGGTGTGACCATACAGGGCAGATGACAGAAGAGTGAAAGGCATGTTTGTGCCCCATAAGTCCCTTTCAAATATTTTTTTTATTTTTTTATTTGTGAATATGAATGTGACTGTTTTGAGTATTCACATGGGCAGCAGCATCTGTGGAGGCCGAAAGAGAGAGTCAGATCCCTGAAGCTGGAGTCACAGGCACTTGGGAGCTGCTTGTGGGTGCTGGGAACCAAACTCACATCCTCTGAAAAAGCAGCAAGCACTCTTGGCCACTGAGCCATCTCTCCAGCCCCTCACAGTCCCATTTGCAGGGCACCGATGCGCTGATGAGGAAGGCCGAGGCCTCCTAACAGATAACCTCTCACTGCCATGGCAGTCGGCCCCGTGTTCACACGGGAATCGTGGAAGAGTATATTCAGATCACAGCAAGTTTTAGACAGGAGCCACACAAAGTCTTTCCTGGTCTCCAAGGTAGAGCGGAGCGATTGGAAAGAAAACTTGTCACTCCAAGCAACAAGCATCTTGATGTTGAGGTTAGAAGAAGGCAATATGAGCGTGGAGCTTTAGAACGCGGACCCAGAGCTGGGGGTTCAGGGAAGGAAGTGACCTTTATTTATTAGTTTATTTTATGTGTACTGCTGTGCACTGTGTCCCTGCAGTACTGGTGGTGGCCAGGAGAGGGCAGCACATCCCCTAGAAGAGCAGTCAGTGCTCTTAGCCCCTGAGTCCCCCAGTCCCCATGAAGTAGCCTCTAAATGGGTACTGGGCTGAGAAGAGTGACTGAAAAGGGGAACAGGCCAGATGAAGAGCCAGGACCTCAGGGAACTGACCACAGTTAAGTTCAAATGCCGATGTGATAGACTGAAGAAAGGGGAGCCTGGGGAGGAGAGAGGAAGCGTAGCCAGGGAGGGCCTCCCGGATGGAAAAACCACCTTTGATTTCCCTTTACTTGGAAACGCAGAACTTAGCAGTCAGTGTTTCCCACGGTGTCACAGGTCTCTCAGGTGACCCACTTCCAGACGCCAATTGCAGAAACTCAGCACAAACTGTTAATATTTTAAAGATTTACTTAACATGTGTATGTGTATTTTGCCTGCAGGTATGTATGCTAACCCTGCATGTGCCTGGTACCTGTGGAAATCAGAAGGAAGTGTCAGGTCCCTTGAAACTCGAATTACAGGTGGTTTTGAGCTACCGCCTTGGTGCTGGGAATTGAACTTGGATCCTCTGCAAAAGCAACAAGTATTCTTTTTTATATATTTAAAATTTTTTAACATAATTTTTTATTGATTCTTTGGGAAACATGTGCCCCAGTTCTGCTCATTTCCCAGTCCCTCCATATCTGTCCCTCACCCCCGTATAGCTCCACTTCCAAAGAAAACTAAAAAAATATTAATTAAAAACAAAACAGATGAAAACCCACTTTGCTCCTCCACCTTTCCCACCTCCCTAGCTCCTCTTCATTCATCTTAGTGGCATTGGGACGGTGATGTATCACCCAGTGTCCCCTTCTGTTCAGTCCGCTTTGCTTGCTAAGTTCAGTGGAATGAGTTGTTGGTCTAGTTCAAGGCCTCTGGTTTCTGGCACACCCTCAACACTGGACCTCACTGAAACTCCTCCTGGATATCCTGACGCTGCCCAGAGTCAGGAAGATTCTGCAGCCATGGTTCTGCACAACCAGTCTCTTGGTGGGCTCTGGCAGATCATGGAAGGGGTAGATGCTGGGGTGGGCCAACTCAAAGCCCTGGATGTGAGACTGGGTAGTAGCTGATTTGGTCAATCCAGGTGTTGGGATCACCCTGCCTCAGGAGAGCAGCGGAGCTCTCCCACACCTGGCAACAAGTATTCTTAACTGCCGGGCCACATCTCCAGTCCCAAGGTTGGCTAATGCTGGGCCACATCTCCTAATGTTGGCTAATTTGACAATAACAAGGCATCCATTTCACTCCACTGATAATTCCGCTTCCGGTCTGGTCGGACTCGGGAGCTGCAGGGATGGTGTCAGGGTTCTCATTTGCTTTTGCTGCCTGGATCGGTTAGTTCCTTTTCTCATTGTCCTGGCAAAATTCTCGAAACAGGCAACTTAAAGAAGGACAGGAATCTTTTGGCTTCTGGTGGAGAAAGGGAGACGGCAGCAGCACAAGCGGCCTCTCACTGTTGTGGTCCCAGTCAGGAAGCAGAGAGACGCAGCGCTTCCCACCTGGCCCCAGTGGCTGTCTAGACGCTGCGAAACAGCATCCATGACCCCATTACTCTTGCATTTTGCACATATGCAAAATTAGCACCATGTGAATGACATTGACCCATTCTACTGCCAGCTTGGGATACGGTCTGACCCCCCTGCTACCAAAGGTCTCGTGGCCTTGGTGCTCCTTGGTAAGTGAACCACAGACAACCCTTCCTCAGGCAGTTGGTTGTCAACATGGGATCCTTTTGGAGACAGTCTCCATTCAGGTGCTCTCCTTTCAAATGAACTCGTATTTTCACAAGTTGGGGTTTTTGTTAAGTAGGGCCTTCTTTACCTATTATTCCAGAAAAGAGACAAGGAAGGCTTCTCTTTTTAAAATTATTTTATTCATTATTTTATTTATGGTGATGGTGGTGGTGATGGTGCTGTGTGTATGTGTGTGTGTGTGTGTGTGTGTGTGTGTGTGTGTGCAGACATACACATGTAGGGCTGGTGAGATGGCTCAGGGGAGTAAGGCACTTATCACACAAGATTAGTGACCTGAGTT